GGCGCAGAACTTCTTTACTGCAGCAGGCAGTCGATAGCACCATGACAAAATGGCACATGCCTGAGCGCATCACGGCGGTAAAGCAGATGCCAGAAACGCCACTTGGCCAATCGGATGCCCAGATTTAGTCACGTGCCCCAAGCAGCCAATAGAATCGCACGCTGGTGCTTCTTGATGACGTGTTTTCGCTGAAAAACCAATGAGCAAGGCGAGCCAGCGATGGCGGGAAATTGAAAATAAAGAACAACCCTTCCAAACGAGACCAAGATGACCACGATAGCTAGTGTGTAAAGGCAATGGTTCGGCGCAGAAAAAGCGTGATTTTAGCGTCTATTTGCACTCACATTCACCTCACAGGGATGTTATAAATTAATTTTGCGTCAGAAATAATGACGCAAGAAGCTAGAAACTTCTCAAATAAGTGCAAAAATAGGTACAGGGTCCGAAAATGTCAGTTTCAAAAAGTCTATTTTTTGGCGATTTTCGGCCTTCTAAGACACGTGTCCCCCTTAAATACTGCTGTGTTGGTGGTGACTACTGCTGACAGCACTAGTATGACCTTCAGCAACAACAATATAATAACTGATCAAGGCTCACAACAACTGCAATAGGGCTAAAACAAAAGCCAGCGACTTCCATATTCGTGAATGATCACCTCACACCCAACAACAAGCAGCTCTTTGCGCAGGTGCTAGCTAGAACTGAAGAAGTCTAAAGATTGGAAGTTTTTGTGGACCAATAACTGTACTATCAAGGCCAGAAAGTCAGAAGACACCCGTGTTCATCGCACATCTAGTGTGAATGATCTGTCAGTATTCAAGTGGGGAAATATATACGTTCCGTGCTTGAATTAATAACTTCTGAATCATCATGGATGAACCCGTCTTTACTCTTGATGAAGCCAAAACTCTGCTTAAGAAAAAATAACCCGCATTATCCTTTTTGCATTTAAACATACGCAGTGTTCGTAAGCATCATGATGATCTCATCGCTCTTCTTTGTGTTTTGGATCATGCCTTTTCTTTTGTATGCCTATCTGAAACGTGGCTAACATCCCATGATGGAAATTTATACAGTCTTTCTAGTTACACGCCTGAATATTGTCACCGCGAAGGTTATCATAGTGGTGGTCAGGCATTTGAGTAAAATCATCATTATATAAACGCTGTCATGACCTTGTTTTTCATCACTGTCTGTGCGAATAAGTATGGTTAGAAGGTGACAGTAATAGCCTGCAGCTCCCTTTTAAATGTAACATCATAATTGCGTGCATCTATCATTTATCCTCATCCTCATACAATGAGTTCTGTAAGAAATTTGAGCAGGTATTGAACATACTAGTTGATGAAAACAAAGATATGATTATATGTCATGATATTAATATCAACAGTATCGACCCTAACAACCAATCATTTTCCGAGTACTTACGAACTTACCTAAGATGCAGTCTCTCATCACTAATTTCTGGCCCAAGTAGATGTCACATAGGTGGCCCCAATACTTTAATTGACCACGTGCTTTCTAGCTTACCAGCAGATCTAGCTTTCTAGCTTTACCTTAGTACAGCTGAAATAGTGGAATATGCCGCAAGAGACCATTACCCTACTCTTTTTTGCATAGGTCATTCATCACATGTTCAATCAAAAAAATATGTAAGAACTATATTTGACTCCAAGAAATTCATACGTACAATTCATGCAATTCACTGGACTAACGTGCTTAAAGAACAATGCAGTGTTAAAGCTTTTGAATGTTTTTTTGAAAAAATATCAGAATGCTCTCATTTACGCATAAGTAACACAACCATCACTCAATTGTTTAGATCGCCAAGAAAGCCTTGGATCAGTAATTTATATTGTGATCTATTAAAAGGAGAGATAATCTTTGTAAGAAGCTTAAAGCCCAGCTTTTTAATAATGCTTTGCAGTCGCGCTTTAACACGTACTCAAATATTCTAACGGCCACTTTAAAAGATGCCAAGTGTATGTACTACGAAAATAAAATAAAAAGAAACAGATGCGACACTAGGCAGTACTGGCAGGTAATTAAAGAATTCTTGAACATCAGCACCACCAGAAACTGCATATCATGTGTAAACCACAATTCTGCTATCATTACTGAGCCTGAAGATATTGTTAATGCTTTCAGTGATATTGTTAATGCTTACAGTGATCATTTCAGCTTCACAGACAGTGATCAGGCTAATTCGATACAACTCACTTTTCAGCGCTGTCCTCATTCTTTCTACTTATTTCCAACGATGCCGGAAGAAGTATACATTATCATCAACTCTCTTAAATCAACTGGTCTAGGTCTTGATCTTATAAACCCCTCAAGCATTAAACTTGTGTCTAAAGAGATCTCGCCTGCGTTAGCACATGTAATAAACAAACTATTCAAAGATGGGATCTTTCCTAATAGACTCAAAACTGGTAAAATAATCCCAGTATTTAAAAAAGGTGACCTCAAGTGCATGAGTAATTATCGTCCTATCTGCATTTTGCCTTTCCTCAGCAAGGTGATAGAAAAATTAATACACAACCGCCTAAGTAAATACTTGTCCAAGTTTAATCTTTTAACTCATGACCGATTCGGTTTTCGCGAGAATATGTCTACTGATTTAGCTCTTATTAGTTTTGTTGAAAGTGTTAAACTAGCCATCGACCAAGGTTTTTTAGTCGGATCTCTCTTCATTGACTTCACCAAAGCATTTGATTCCATCGATCATCATATTCTTTTAAACAAACTTGAAGGTTATGGCATTTCTGGACCACCTTTAGAATTGATTCGTAGTTATTTAAAAGACAGATCTTACAGAGTCCAAATTGATGGTGTCCTCTCCTCATCGAAAACTATAAACATAGGTGTTCCACAAGGATCAATACTTGGACCACTTTTATTCCTAATATTCATCAATGATTTGCCACAAGTATTAACACATGCACATTGTCTACTTTATGCCGATGACACCACCATCTTCGTATCTGATAACAATCCTGGCTCACTGCAGAATAAACTGAACGCTGACCTAGCTAGTGTTCATTCATGGTGTGTGAAAAACAAGCTGATAATTAACCCATATAAGACAACATTTATGCTATTCAACTAGTCGAAAAATCTGTTCATTCATCCCATTGCAGTTTCTTTAAATAATGATGGAATTTCAAGATCCACAACAACAAAATTTGTCGGTGTTGTTCTAGATGAAAATCTGAAATTCCACTATCATACACAATCACTTGTTCAAAAAATCTCATTAGGCATTCACATCATTATAAATACTAACAATTTTTTTTCATCTGGACATTCTCATGTCTTTACACTATGCGTACATACACAGTCACCTCTCATACTGCCTTTCATCCTGGGGTAATATATATTATGCACATCTTCATCATCTAGAAATCTTGCAAAAGCAGGCATTACGATTGGTTACATTTCAAAAACATACATCTCCCTCTGCTCCCATATTCCGTTGTGTAAATATTCTACCTTTGCACATGTTATTCCATCATAAGGTGTCACTACTAATGTTTCGTCTTATGAATACCAATCTCAATATTCCAGGTTTCACTCGCTCCAGCTTCATCAATAACAATAATACAAGATTTTCAAAGCGACTTAATCTACTCCTTCCTAAAATTAGAACAAATTAGGGGCAATTTACTGTTGCTTTTCTAGGCATTTCAATTTGGAATTCATTGCCATCGAATATAAAGTCATCTTCATTATTCTCATTCAAACCTAAAACTAAGGAACATTTCATTAACACTTTGTTAGACACATAATATTCACTAGGTTTTGCCTACCCTACTACTTCGCAACGTGCTTTTGCCACTTCCAAGTGTTTCACTTTTGCCCATTTTGATACTTGTTTGCATGTGTAGCTGTTCATGCCACCATTCTTTGTTTGAATTAATTTTTGTGATTTCTTCTATCTGACTTTGTTAAAATTATTTTATCATTGACGTTTGTGATTGTCAAATTAGTTTTTTATTTTTTGTATTACTTATGAATACTTTATCCTTTATTACCAAAGCTAAAGAAATTATATAAAATAAAGATTCCCTGTTTGCCTAGTTTCCTGTAAACACCCATTTATGTTTTGTTGGGAGGTCCCCCCGACAGTTTTCACTCCGGGACCTCTGAAGTTGCACTTCTTGTCCACCTTGTAATCTCGTCAAATTTCGTCAAATAAATTTCAAATTTCAAATATGTAATCTAATTTAGATGCTTCCATGCGACAGAAACAAAGCACATACATTTCTCACTTCTGTTTTCAAACCTCATCAGAGTTCAGGCCTGTTCACATACCTGCGTTATTCACAAATAAGCAGAATATTCTAACCATGACCTGAAAGGGGTCCTTAGACACTTTTACAAGTAATCATTGAATGAATTCATTAAAAACATTCCCTGCTTCATGAATTGATTTTTAGAATCCATTAAGTAGAAGCAGAGTTGCAGGGATTTGTTACATACTCCAAGCACTTTCCCTCCTTTAGTACCAGTGAGTACATTGAAAGCTACGTGAAGCTAGATCCATTCATCAGTGCGTGTCATAACTAAAAATTTTGTTGTCTCCCTCTTTTTTTTTTTTATGCACAGCTTACCTTTAGTGTGATCACAAAAGAGCGTACGGGCACCGCAATGGCTGCAGTAACATTGTAGATCACAATGCTCAAATCAGCTTTTGCCTTTGGGTTTACGGTGCAGTCATTTGGGTTTATGGCATCACTTGTCAAAGAGAAGAGCAGGATTTTTAGCAAACTTTAAAAATTCCCTTTAAATTACAGGCCACATGCTGTGCTACAATGTTTGGCTAGCATGTTCTCAGGAGCCTCATCTACCAATTGGCACAGTTTTCTGACTATGCTGAAAAAGTGTTGATGGGCCCCTTTGAAGCACAAACACAGGCCAGCGAAAAGCTCTCAAGAAACATGACATAATTAAGAAAAAGTAGCAAAAGAAATAAAGAAGTTCAATAAATGCTGCCATACTGCTTTTCCACATGGCTCTGCCTTTTTCTGTTGCTGATGGCAATAGCAATGGCATCCCATGCGTGCTTGTTGTCTTGAGCGTCAGAGACTCCCAAAATTCCAAGCATGTCTCGGCAATGGTCAAAGATGTCCCTCCACTTGTCAGACGCTGGCACACTCATCGAAAAGGATGCTTTTCTGATTAAAAAAAAAAAAGGGCTCTTTTACTTTTGTCCACACAACTTATGTTGTTACTACAAACAACAAAAAACAGTCTCTCCTTAGTTATGAGTCACAATTTGATATAAGCATTACCTCACACAAAAAACAGTAAATAAACTACAGTAGAATCAATAAGTAGCTAAAGGGATACTAAAGAAGAAAAAAAATACATGGGCTTAATTAATTGATGGGCTGTAATGTCCTAAAACCATAATATATGAGCTTTATTAGCCAACTACAACACTATAACTAACCTGTTCATAGCAACATATCAAAACGAAATGAAAACCAGAAAATAACACAAAAAATATATGTTTGACTTCAGTGAAATCGTAACCCAACCGTTATTTATTATTTTGTTCCGGAGAGAAGCTGAAATTTTTTAATCATTTTTCAGTTCACGTGGAAACTTGGCAATCCGAAAAAACTGAGGTCATACAACGTAAGCAATAACGCATACTTAAAGGTACAGTACTAGCGGGTATCTCGTGAAGGAATTCCAAAGTAAAATGTGTTGAAGTTGTGCAGAAAATAAAAAAAAGTGGCAACCAGAGATTTTTGTATTACTCAAGTGGACTTTCGTGTGCCTATGATGCATGCCAGCATGGAGAGGGCGTTCTCGGCGAGGAAGTTTGTTTTATATGAACAAAGGCCTCGCATAAAAAAGGTATGCTATATGACGGGCTGCTTCTGAGATCATGCTCACTTCTTGTATGTGAAAGCATTGAGCCTGCTAAAAAAATTATTTATTCAATTTTGACAAAGTCTACTGGAACTTAGAAGGGCACTGGTTTGTGTTAATTTTGTAGGAATTTGTGAAACGTGGGAAGAACGTGTTCTACCTCTGTCTCACTTTCAAGGGGGCCCTGAAACACTTTTTCAAGTAACCCTGGAATGAATTCGCTAGAAGAACTTATTGCATCATGAATTCAACGCCGCAAAAATTTTAAGAATCCGTCCAAGGCGAGTGGAGTTACAAGGGTTTGTCGCATGCTGCAATGGCATTCTCTCTTTTCTCATCCTGACGAAAGCGCTGGAAGCTAAGCAGGGAGGAATGGCAGGGCCACAGAAAAACATCACGCGCGCCTGGCAACCTTGCGTATGTTTTTCAGTGTGATCGCGTCGCACGCGCATGCGTGGACAAGTAGCGGCCTTTTGCGACGATCGCTGTAACGCGCGAGCGCGCCATGTTTAAATCAGCCAATGGCTGATAGATGGGTCATTGACATGTGATTTTTGGGCATATGATGAGATTTGTCGAAGAAGACCAAGCAATTTTTAGCTGAATTTGATCATTTATTGTGTATTCCAGGCCGCATACTGTGTTGTAATATTTGGCTCGCGTACTACCGATCGGCAGCATTTTCTGACAATGCTCAAAAAGTGTTGCAGGGCCCCTTTAAGAGGAGTATGAGTGAATATATGACAATTTCAATACTTTATTGCTACTCTAACTTCAAACTTTTGCATATAGTTGAAAAACGTCACGAGCCATTACGGAACATTTTTTTTTGTTCCAGAGCAGAAATGGAATGGAACTGTTTGCAATGGAAAAAACCTAGAAGCGAAAGGAAAAAGATTTCACTCCAACACCCTGGTTCATAGATCAATTTAGACTGATTTATCAGCGCAAAAAAAGACGGGACATTTAGAAAGACACACACACACACAGAAAGACACACACACACACAGCGCTGTGTGTGTGTCTTTCTAAATGTCTTGTCTTTTTTGCACTAACAAATCAGTTTAAATAATCATGAACCAATTTGCCCAAGCAACAGTTTCAGCGAAGTTTATTCATAGATCAAGTAGCACTCTTTAGATAATAGGTAATTTTAATAGTTTTCAAGCAAGGTTTCATTATTATGGGCTGATACAGGCTGAAACAAACACTGTTTGTTTTGGACATGGTATTAACTTCCCTTCAATAATGCCATAAAGTTGTTGCTCAATGCATACAAGCATCCATCTATTTACATCTTTAAAAGTTACAATCCCCTGAACAGTCAATCTTAACTTAATCTTGTGTTGCATCAAAAATTACATTAAAAAAGTGGTAGTACTCGTGAATATTTCAAAAGTTACAGCATTTACGCAATCCAAAGCATGGCAAACATACTCACTTGTCCCGACTAATAAGTGAATCAACATCAGAAGTGCACTGCTCGTCAGCAACTGCTTTTTGATATACACCCGATACCTTGATGCCTTCACTCCATACGCCACAAAAGCTGCCCTGGATACTGTCTCCATTTGACAAACTCAGGACACCCTGAAAAAAAAAAAGAAAGAGAAAACTACGTCACACTATCACTTTAAAAATTACTGCACCATTTTAAAGTGCCAAAATCTTATTTAAAAAACCTACTTTCCCATTCAACGAGCCGCCAGCACCAAGTTCTCCTTTGAAGACAGTATTGTCTTGAAACATCATAGTGCCATAACCCTGTAAATAATAAAACTGATTTACCACCACACAGAGGGCCCATGCATGACTGAATGAAATTTACAGAACTGTAAATAACTTATGACATCAAGAAAGTGCATCAAATGAGCTATTTTCTTAGTAAAATTCAGTTACCTTCATTAATATACAAGCAAAAGTTTAGTAATGAAAGCCAACCCTTTTACAACAGACTTTATTCTCCAATGCCACGACAGGCATATTGTTACAGTTTTGAATAAAAAAACGACACATCTAGTATCACTCGCACCAGAATGCACAAGCTGCATTCGCACATGTATAAATAATGACATGATTTAACATCACTTTAAATTAGCAAACTTGTGCTATGCTGCGAATCTTCGAAATAATACTTCAGCTCATAGTGGCTATTGAAACTCGCCGAAGACCAAGAGAAGAAGAAGACAAGGGCCACGGAAGAGCACACGCGTGAATAAGTAAAATTAAAAAAGAAGATTCTTGCTGTTTGTTCTTATCGAACGCAGTCCACGCTTGTCTCGTCTCGTTTCTGCGACATGGTGCCGTGACTAGGATAGCAGCTTCTCCTCTTAACACTGCCTACGAAATACCAGGATGAAGAACAGGCCACAGAGGACGCACGATGAGGAGGCCCAGAGTGAATCGACGGCAGCAAGACGGGACATCGCCATCTGAGAGAGCGGCACATACACAGAGGACGACACAGCCATGGATGAAGATTCGCCGCTGAAATCTGTAAGCGACTAGCCGTTTCCTCAATTATTCAAAATGAACAGGGAAGTAATTTCGGAGACAAGAAAAACGCTGAGGACGCAAATAACCTACCTAGTGAGCGAAGCAGAAAATAAGCTTCATGAAAATGAAGACCCTTAGGCAATATCACTGATAGCCAGCCAGATTAGAGGCATCGCCGACATGTCAAAGAAAGTTGACCAACAGATGGAACAGTTCATAACGCCGGAAACAGCCGAAGCCGAGTTCGCGAGGACCACAGAGTATGAGCTAAAGACAATTAGCATTCTGCATAACATCAATGCCTACCTTTAGCGACAAGAACGACGCGAGCCAGTGAGGGAACAGGTCACTTCAAATGACAAGGCCAGGCAAGCGCCACCAGCAAATGCAGTAAAGCTACCAAAGGTAGAATTAATGAAGTTTGATGGTGACAGGAGGATGTGGCAGAGATTCTGGCATCAGTTTGAATCGGCTGTTCCTGTGAGAACAGAATCATAAGAGAATCAAAAGTTCACGTACCTTCTGTCATCACTAACCGGGAGAGCAGCAGCTGCCGTGGAGGGACTTCAACACTCAGACAGCAATTATGTGAAAGCTATCGACATGCTCAAGCAGTGATACAGGAAAGACGAAGCGCTCATAGAAATACACATAAAAGAGCTAATTAACTTGAGTACAGTAGCAAGCAGCAGTGACTATTAAGGATTGAGAAGACTGTCAGACAAAGTACAAGTGCATACAAATGGGGTGGAATCTTTAGGCGTGAAAATCGAGCCCTATGCATCGATGCTACTACCAGTATTAAAAAGATCTTTACCTGCGGAAATACAGATGGGGTTCCAACTGAAAAAAAGAGAATAGGCCGGTAGGTCTTCAGATCAAGATCAGAATGCAACTAAACACCATGAGGAAACTCTGAAGCGCTTGATGAGGTATATAAAAGACCAAGTTGAGTGCAGAGAGGAATTTGTAGAGCGCAAGGAAGGCCACGACAACAAATTTGACGGTAGGCAACAGAAAAGAACGGTCAATTTTCAAAGCACTGCAGCAAAGTTTTGCATATTCTGTGAGAGTAATACCCACTATTCTGATGACTGCAGAAAGAATATGTCATATGAAGAGAAGAAAACGAAGCTAAAAGCGTCTCATGGATGCTTCCGTTACACGAGGCCTCGCCATACCGCCAAAATATGCAAAGCAAGCATAAGATGCAAGATATGCTGGAAAAGGCACGCAACGTCTATGTGCCGGAGAAAAGAACTCACAGCGCAGGGCACAGCAGCCACTGAAGGTAAAAATGAAAATCAGGAAGAGGAAAGGTCAGCCTGCCAATATACAAATATATCATCAAGCATTTTTCTGCAGACTGCAATGGCAATAGCAGAAGGTAGAAACAAGTCGTGCTATTGTGGGGTTCTGTTGGACACTGGTAGCCAAAAAACATTCATCCTTCAGAGCTTGTCAAAAAAGCTTGGTTGCACGATCAAAGGAAAAGAAAGACTGACCATAGGCTATTTCGGAGGAGGAAAAGAGGAAAAGACTATGCATTCAGTTGAAGTCAAACTTGGAAGCGCATATAGTGGCGAAGAGGTTTCGTTGGAAGCACTCGAGATTGACGTTATTTCAATAGAAAAAATACCGCTCCAGCCAGTTTCATTGAAGAAGAAGTATGAAGACGACGAATTAAGGTTGTTGGTTGACGGTTCATGCACAAGCACAGACTGCAGAGAAACCAGAATTGTTGTTGGATCAGACCACTACTGGCAAACAATGACCGGAGGCATTTGAAAACTGGAAGAGAAGCTGACAGCAATAGAGACCATATTCGGTTGGACGGTGCAGGGCAAACTAAGTTAGCCACAACATTAATGAAACAGTCAACCGTTAAGGTACTTCACGTTGAAGTGGACAAGTCCGACATAGACACAGAGCTAAAGCATTTCTGGGACATAGAAACCATCAGGATAAAGGGCACCGAGCAAGACGCAAAGAAAGAAAAGAGTGTGATGGAGTATTTTAGCAAGAACTTAAAGTGTGAAGAGAAAAAACTCAATACGACTTCCATGGAAAGATACCGTGGAGCTTGATGAAAACAAGGGTGTCGCAATGACCAGATTGAAGCAACTCACTCGAAGGTTACAGAAAGACGAAAGTGTACTGCAACGTTACGACAATGCCATCAGCGAGTACATGACTAGTGCAGTGGCAGAAGTCGCCAAGGAAGAAAGGGCACCAATGACACACTGCTACTACATGCCGCATCAAGCCATCATTAAGGAGGATCGTGAAACAACAACAAATAGTATTTGATGCGTCATCATCATCCACAAAAGGGTCATCTCTAAATGACAACCTCGAAACTGGACCAAATCTCAATCGTGATCTCGTGCACATGCTGATGAACTTCCGACACCATCGCATTGCAATGACAGCTGATATTGAGAAGGCATTCTTACAGATTTCAATACATGAGGAAGACAGAGACGTGCTGTGTTTCTTTTTGTGGGACAGAATTCCGAGTGGAAGCGATGCGAAGATCATAACATAGAGAATGTTAAGAGTGACGTTTGGCACTGCCCCCAGTACTTTCTTGCTCGCAGCAACAGTACAGCACCACCTCAGCAAGTTGGAGGAGAAAGATCTATGTCGACGACGTAATAATGGGAGCCGAATCGCCCAAGGAAGCTGAAAAACTTTACTGATAATCAAAGGAGATTTTTCAAGAGGCATCAATGACTCTCAGAAAGTTCAACACAAATGAGCCAGGATTACAACAAAACATAAAGAAAGAGGAAAATGCACGCTTCGGGGCTTCTACTGAAATAGTTTCTTGGCATCTGATGGAAATTCAAGGAAGATAGGTTGTACCTACCATTGTTTGACACAAAAGACATCGATACCAGCGGTGCGCTAATGAAGCACCAAATGTTACAGCTCACTGCAAGAGTATACGATATTCTGGGACTCTTCACTGCATTCACGGTAACAGCCAAGCGAGAAATACAAAACATGCGGTGGAAAGGGACGTCCAGTGTACCACAACCGTTTGATGTAAGACAAAGGAGGAAGCCTATTCACACGGAACTTCACTTGCTTTCAGATGCAAGTCCATATGCACACGGAACAGCGGCCTATTTGATAAATCCCTACGAGAAGGAAAAGAAGGCTGAAATACTAATTGCAAAAGGAAGAATAGCGCCAATGAAGCAAATCTCATTGCCACACCTTGAGTTGATGGCTGCGTTGCTGTCTGCCCGCATTCCTAAATACATCAGAAGCGGATCTGTTAGAAATATAAATGCTACAAGGTACTGGATGGACTCGACCATTGTTATTAGTTGGCAACACTGAAAGAAAAAATGAGACACATTTGTAGAGACTAGGGTGAAGGAGATAAAAGAGAAAACAAAGCTATCAGAGTGGAAATATATTGCAAGTGAAGAGAACCCAGCTGATCTCGTGACCAGCGGTGTAAGCGCAAAAGCTTTAATACAGTCGGACCTATGGTGGCATGGTCCAAAGTGGCTTGTTACGGAAAACAAGACCACAGCGCAGATGGAAACGGAAGAAGACAGTGAGAGGAGTGAGTGTTATGCAACTAACACATACACGTCAGTTCCGGTCGTGATCGACGCAGAGAAGTATGGAACCCACAAAGATTACTCAAAGTAACAGCTTGGGTTTTAAGATGCATAGAGATTACAAAAAAGAAGGGGATAATTGGCGATCCGAGTTTTGAGGAACTAAAGGATGCAGATATGGCAATAATAAATTTGGAGCAACGAAAGATACGAGAACATATTATACCCAACAAGAGCAATACGACTAAGACAACAAGGATGTTTCTTTGTGGTAGGGAAGTCTTTAAAGATGAACAAGGACTAATAAGGCACAATGGTCGTCTGTCTCAAACTGGACTGACATACAACGACAAATATTCAATTGTGCTACCAAAGTGGATGGCTGCTACAAAACTGCTAGTACGACACGTGCAAACTCACATTGCACGGAGGAGTCAGTGAGACACTGTCGCAGCTTAGAACGAAATGTTGGATAATTCAAGGAAGGCAGCTTGTGAGGAAGGTTATTCATGGATGTTTAAAGTGTCAACGATTTGACGCTAAAAAAATTAAGCAAAACACAGTACCCCTGCCTGCTGATAGTAAACCACCGACAACCATTTGAAAAGACTGGTGTAGATTTTACAGGCCTGATGCTTATAAAAGATGCCGTGAAAAGCATGACAAAACTGTACATCGCAGTATTCGTGTGTGCAACAACAAGAGCTGTACATCTCGAAGTTGTCGACAACTGTAAAACAGAAGCATTCTTACATGTATTCAGAAGATTTATAGCGAGAAGAGGCTTATGTCACACAATATATAGTGACAAAGCAAGGACCTTTAAGAAAGCTAAAAGAGAAATCAATCGTATGCTGAAGGAGTTACAAGAAGAGGTCTATGAAAGAGCTATAACGAGATAGGACTCTTTACTCCATTCACGGTAACAGCCAAGCGAGAAATACAGAACATGTGGAGGAAAGGGACGTCTTGGGATGACTCACTGCCAGATGATGAAATGGAGACTCGGAGGAGATGGATTAAAGAGCTGGAATCGATTCGAGAGTTCAGTGTACCACGACCGTTTGATGTAAGACACAGGAGGAAGCCTATTCACGCGGAACTTCACTTGCTTTCAGATGCAAGTCCATATTCATACGGAACAGCAGCCTATTTGATAAATCACTACGACAAGGAAAAGAAGGATGAAATACTAATTGCGAAAGGAAGAATAGCGCCAATGAAGCAAATCTTGTTACCACGACTTGAGTTGATGGCTGCGTTGCTGTCTGCACGCATTCCTGAATACATCAAAAGCGGATCTGTAAGGAATATAAATGCTACAAGTACTGGACGGACTTGACTATTGTTATTAGTTGGCTACACGGAAAGAAAAAACGAGACACATTTATAGAGACTAGGGTGAAGGAGATAAAAGAGAAAACAAAGCTATCAGAGTGGAAATACATTAAAAGTGAAGAGAACCCAGCTGATCTCATGACCAGAGGCGTAAGTGCAAAGGCTTTAGTACAGTCGGACATATGATGGCATGGTCCAAAGTGGCTTGTTACGGAAAACAAGACCACAGCGCAGATGGAAACGGAAGAAGACAGTGAGAGAAGTGAGTGTTATGCAACTAACACATACACGTCAGTTCCGGTCGTGATCGATGCAGAGAAGTATGGAACCTACATAAGATTGCTCAGAGTAACAGCTTGGGTTTTAAGATGCATACAGATTACAAAAAAGAAGGGGATAATTGGCGATCTGAGTTTTGAGGAACTAAAGAATGCAGATATGGCAATAATAAATTTGGAGCAACGAAAGATACGAGAACATATTATACTCAACAAGAGCAATACGACTAAGACAACAAGGATGTTTCTTTGTGGTAGGGAAGTCTTTGAACATGAACAAGGACTAATAAGGCACAATGGTCATCTGTCTCAAAGTGGACTGACATACAACGAAAAATATCCAATTGTGCTACTAAAGTGGACGGCTGCTACAAAGCTGCTAGTACAACACGTGCAAACTCGCATTGCACGGAGGAGTCAGTGCGACACTGTCGCACCTTAGAACGAAATGTTGGATAATTCAAGGAAGGCAGCTGGTGAAGAAGGTTATTCATGGATGTTTAAAGTGTCAACGATTTGACGCTAAAAAAATTAAGCAAGACACAGTACCCCTGCCTGCTGACAGTAAACCACCGACAACCATTTGAAAAGACTGGTGTAGATTTTACAGGCCTGATGCTTATAAAAGATGCCGTGAAAAGCATGACAAAACTGTACATTGCCGTATTCGTGTGTGCAACAACAAGAGCTGTACATTTTGAAGTTGTCGACAACTGTAAAACAGAAGCAATCTTACATGTATTCAGAAGATTTACAGCGAGAAGAGGCTTATGTCACACAATATATAGTGACAATGCAAGGACCTTCAAGAAAGCCAAAAGAGAAATCAATCGAATGCTGAAGGAGTTACAAGAAGAGGTCTATAAAAGAGCTATAATGAGATAAAATAAAGTGAAAGTTCATTGCCGAACAAGCGCCTTGGTGGGGAGGCTTCTATGAAAGGATAATACGAAGCATGAAATCATCAATGAGGAAAGTCATTGGAAAGAGACTGCTAACCAGGGAAGCGATGGAGATAATAACCACTGAAGTTGAACCGGTGCTTAACAACAGGCTGTTAACTTATGTATAAAGTGAACCAGATGAGCCGCTACCTATTGTGCCGGCTGACATAATACTAAGTGGAAAATACAGACTTCCAGGCAATGACAAAAATCAACACGAAGTCAAAATTAAAAAAATCTGGAGAAAGTGGCAAAACGTCATGAGAGATTGGTGGAAAAGATAGAACAAGGAATATCTGAAGGAATTTAGAGAGTAAGCTTACGCAAGTAAATAAGAAATGAGAGTGAACCGAGGAGACATTGTATTGCTTGGTTCACGCACTCCTAGATCATTTTGGAACCTGGCCAAAGCCATGGAAGTTTATTCGGGAGTCGACGGGAAGATACGCTCCTGTCTTTTGAAAACCACTGAAAAACTCATTCGGAGACCTGTACAACATATCTACTAGTTTGAAGGTTGTCTCCAATGAGGACAACAAAACTTCATGCAGGCCGGAAGCTATTGAAACTCGCCGAAGACCAGGAGAAGGAAAAAACAAGGGCCACGGAAGAGCGCGCGCGTGAATAAGCAAAATAAAAAAAGAAGATTTTTGCTTATCCTTCTTATCGAACGCAGTCCACGCTTGTCTCATCGCGTATCTGCGACAGTGGCATTGCAGCATTGAAATTTTAAAGAACAGGTGTTTCATTAAACACCATTTGCAAAATATGGGTACAGAATTCTAACCAAAGCGGTTCCACGGCATCATTACCTTTGAGGTATCCAATAAATATAATTCAGAAGAAGCACTATGCTGTAACCACTAGCATATTAACAGTCACAAGAAGTGATGGTAAAAAGTTTAGTTAACACTCATCTAACAAAACTCAACTATACAAAGGTTACAATCTAACAAAGAAAATTACATTTCCTATCAGGTACCCATAGGATTGAGTGTTGTTACCAAAAAAAACCCCAGAAGTGATGTTAAAACTGTTAAAACTAAGATTTAAACTCGCCTAATGAACTGATTGATTAATATGTATTGTTTAACGTCCCAAAACCACCATATGATTATGAGAGACGCCGTAGTGGAGGGCTCCAAAAATTTCGGTCACCTAGGGTTTTTTAACGTCTACCCAAATCTGAGCACACGAGCCTACAGCATTTTCACCTCCATCATAAATGCAGCCACTGCAGCCAAGATTCGATCCCACGACCTGCGGGTTAGCAGCCGAGTACCTTAGCCACTAGACTACCGCGGCGGGGCCTCACCTAACGAAACCCAATTTTAAGAAGTTCCCAATCTAATGAAGTAATTTCCATTCCCTGGCATGTATCCATAGGACTCAGCGTTGTCATTAACCTGAATAAAAGAAAGAAACTCGACCACAAAATCCAATTTAGTGAGGTTCTTTCTTTATATAAATTACTAAAAGACAGTAATTTTGTTTTAATTTTCATACAAATGGGATTTTTTTTCCCAACTGTGAGCTCTAATACTATTGTATTGAAACTTCTAGGCAACCTAGTCACTGCCCTATCTCCATCTTGACTATGCTGCTTGCTTTACCCACACATGGAACAGCAAGCTCAGTAGTCAGCAGCACTTTTACGTACCAGGTCATGCTAGGACCTGTGGCGATTACTGTAATTTTCACTCTAGTTACTTCACAGTTCATGTGACAGATCCAGTGACTAATTTTTAGCAACTTTTTTGGTCAGCCTGCTCGGACATTCACGACATTCATTCTCCATGTCTTTGCGTGTCAACAGCCCGTCATAGACACACATGACCTGGCCTGCATCACCCGGGTATGCAGCCTCCTATGTTTGGCCCATACAAAAGGGTGTAGGCTCAGGCCACACTCGGGCTGCCCTTGCAGACATTTTGAATGTGCAGACATAGATTAGTGGCAAATTAAAAGCTGTGGTAGCTATGGGTGTAGCCAGATTACAATTTTTATTTGGAAGAACTGAAAATTCTTTTTTGTGATTTTAGAAACTTTCCGATTTAATAAAATAATTTGAGTGAGGTCATTTCTTCATAAAATGGAATTTCAACTGCATTAATAATAATTAAGTTATTTTCAAAATGTGTGAATATCATCATAAAGCTCTTTAAATAAATGTGTAATACTATGTAGTTGGAAGTGTGACCTGTTTTACGTAGCGTTTCACTTTTTTCTGTCTCTACATGTAAGTGAATACTGCAAATTTATACATGCAACATTTTAAATTGAATAGTGATGGTTATTCATGTCATGTTTTGGGCCTGCTGCCTGAACTCGAGAGAAGCAACCACTACCACTGGCAACTGTAAAGATTAGTACTTTTAAAGAAGCCAGGTATGAACAGCCACATCTTAGATCCCCAGTACATTGTTGAGATGACAGGAGCTACAGGGTCTTAGGTAATGGTATAAAAGCCAAATTAGAGGTATACACACACACACGATTGCATCTGTGCAGACATTCACACAAACAAAAAAGGTTACTTACACTGAGGTTGTTGTTCACAAAGTTGCCCTCATAATAGATGTCATCAAGCGTGACCATGATTCCATTGCCATGGCGACAATCATCCTGCCACATGCCCATGTATTTCTCACCTGCAGAAGGTCACAAGCTCAATCCTCACCCGAATCGCTCTCCAAAATAAAATACTAGCAGTCAAAGTTATCTACAAACTTCTTGGTGCACGACTTAATTTAAAAATCTACGATCGAAACAGAGGAATTGCATGATTCAAGTAGATTTTTTCGCGCAGCCTGATGTAAGGTCGACATCATGTTCCACTACATTTGCTGCCACTGCTGTTTACATTTATGTACCGCCACTTTCAGGAAAAATGACAAACCATCGAGAAACTTAAACTCTAGCCATAAAACTACATGCTAGATAGAAATAAATGTAAAAAAGGCAAGAAAATATGAACTTTGCAAAGCGCAGAAACTCGTCCACCATATATGATCGATGTTCCAATCAGCGTAACTAGAATAAACTCAGTTTAAAAGCTCTTCCGGAGAGGCGGGCCGTGTGGCGGTCACGAGAACTAGTCCCGCTGTAGTCAGATTTTGCTCCAGCAGCCGGCGCATATTGTAATTGGCGGGGGCGACATGCAAGTGGCTACAGTGAATGGTGTGCTGTATTTGCACATCACATCTCCGACTGTTTTCGGCACTGTGTAGTTCCTTGTACAAAAATGCGTTTGTCATGTATGAAGCACAGCGAGGAGAAGCAGATTTATCTACAGTGAGGTACGCCAATTTGCTTTGCGCCGGGCTCCAAAAGCGACCACCACAATGATAAATCTGCTTTCACGCAACTTGTTTGCTCGCTAATTAATTAATTTATTCCCTTTATAAACAAGATTACACAATTGCAGGGGCCAAAGTAAAAGCTGCTATAAACAGCATGAGCAGCTCATATTTATAGCCCCCAGTCTCTTTTGACCTGCAATGACGGGCTATAGTAAACGGACGATCGTAAGGGAATTTCCAGTCTAGCCTCGCACGTTACCTGAAAGTTATTATTGTCATGCAATAAAAATTTTCATTCCATTCCATTATTATTATTACATGCGGCAGCATTTGGAGAATATGGCGCAGGTGCCGCCGCTGAGTATTATATATATTGTGTGACAGCAAATGCACCACAGTTATAAACACAACAATTACAAAACTTGAGGACGCTTGAGCTTCGCCTTTAAGAGAAAAACGTGATAGCGGAATCGCGCTGTGTGCGAATCACCTTCTCAATTATTAGCGTAGCGTTGGTCTCGGTGCATGCCTCAATCGTGCCGTGAGAGATTGAATGAATGACTGTGCATGCAACACTAGCCATTTCAAACAATCGTAGATTGTAGAAACTACCAAGGAACCTATCCTACCCAAAACGCATGGTGCCCCTAGAATGCCAAGTGCTGAGTTCGGAGGAGCCGCCAGAAATAAAACAGCAAGACAAAAGACACGCAACAAACAATGCTGTTGATTCTCAGAGTTGCATCACATTGATATTCTACACTCAAACCTCGTTATAACGAAGTTGAAGGGGAGCCATATTTTTTTGTTATATACATTATTTCATTATATCGATTAATACAGTTTGTGGCAATGTATGCTCAGATGGGCGCACACCTATAAGCATGCAAAGAAAGAAACCGCCTCGCGGCCCGATGTACTGCTATGCGACCACGCGTGCGACCGAAAATAAACAGTCGGACCTCATTAATTACAACACGCTTAATTTGAACTTCCGGTTAATTTAAACTCACGCTGTGGCCCTGTCAAAGCTATGTGTATTCCAAGGGGTGAAAACACCCTGTAATTCTAGCGTGCAAGCACTTACGACGGTTAATTCGAACATACCGCGCTCCTAAAATTCTCTCACCACCATGTTCGATCCCGCCGTGGCACCTCTCAATGCTGCGCGCGAAGAAGGAAAAGAAGAAAACGAAAGAAAAGACTGTAGCAGATTGTTTTCTCTCTCTCAAATGCCGATCTGCGAAGTGCCTGTGCCACGTTTCTTTCTTTTCCGTCTCTGCATGTAGAGACCCTTCTTTTTTCAAGGTCGCGCGTGGAGAAGGAGAAAAAAAAAAAAGAAAAGAAAGCTGTTGGGGAGAGCTGACTGGGTTCTCTCCACGTGGAAACGCTCCTCCTTTGTCGGTGCAGAGCCTAGAAGCGGAGACGCATTCGTTGCCGTCGTCTTTAGAGAGTGTTGGCGCTGAACTTAGCCGTGCGCTACTATGCTTTGCAAACTGCGTGCAAAATTGATTGACTCGCAGCAAGGCTAACGTGTGCAGACGTGCATCACCAATTACTTCAATTAATGATGGATGTCCTCTGATTTGCAAATAAATGTAAGTCTTCTGAAGCTTCCCCATTGTGTGTTCTTATGTGAAAGGGAAATCGCTTTGCACTGCGGCGCCGCTTCTTGGTCATGTGAATGACCCGCTCGACTATGTGACCAGCTCGGTCATGTGACCCGCTCGGTCATGTGAATCCTTTACACTGGCTGTGTGAGGAAGACGGCTCTCTCGGCTGCGCATGGCGTGGCTGTAAGGTCGGCACAGGAGTTTTGAAAGAGCTGTGCCGAACGAGCGTCAAAATCCGCAGAAAACGAAATACCTAACACACAACGGTCGTTTTTTTTCTTGATAGACGATTTGATAAACTAATTTAGTTCGTTATATCCATTTACGGGTCAATTTTACTTTGTTGCAATGAGGTTTAAAATGCATGGTTCTTAATGAAGCTTTCAAGGGGAATTTCATTTAGTTTGTTATATCCATTATTTTATTATATCCCATTATGTTATAACGAGGTTTGAGTGTATCAATTGTCAAAAGTTGTGCTGCCTTCAAAGCAGTGGATTATTTTTTTGCTTTAATATATATTTCCCTTATAAACCAACACAATAGTATACAGTAAAAGCTCATTAATTCAAATTCCACAAGAATGCTGAGCAATTACAAATTAAATAAAATTGGAAATAATGAAAGCGAGCAAAAATGGGTTGATTTCGGGGGTGGAGGCGCGAAGAATAGTTATTGGTCAAGAAAGTCTGTGATGACCATCTGCTTCTTTTCCCTGAATGCTACAGTTATGGCTCTCTGTTCCAGTGTGCGGATACCACGCAGGGAATCCTCTTCACCCTCTTCAAAGCTGAAGAAGAGGCGTGCCACATTAAGTGCCTCAATCACCTCAGACGTGGATGGGCACACAGGCACTTCGTCATCTTCATCTTCCTCATCTTCTGGCTCTTCGGCAACAAGCTGTGCACAGGCTATTTGAGCAATAATGTCCTCATCAGTCAGGGCACCACACACCAATGCACCGGTGTCAACCTCAACAAGATCGGCAAAACGTACGCCCTGAAGAGCTCCTCAGCCCCGTCGAAGCCGATGTCCCAACTTTCCTGCGCACTTCCAGCTGCAAATCCACTAATGCGGGAAAAATCTGCGATTGTGGTCGCAATCAACTGTTCCCATGCGCGCACCAACATGTGGATGGCAATGAGCAGCGCAATGCTGAAGTCCTTCCTGCTGCTCGCACACAAAATCATTCTCTCTAGCATGTGACTCCTATAAAAGAACTTGATGTCCCTTATCACACCCTAATCCATTGGCTGTAGGGCCGCAGTTGTGTTTGCTGGAAGGTACACTAACTTCGTTGCTCTCAGCTCAACGTCGACTTTGAGCGCCGAACAGTTGTCGATGACAAGACGAACGCATCTGCCACCCAGTTCCATTCGTGTGTCGAATTTCAGTAGCCACTTCCAGAATAAGTCACCTGTCAGCCAGGCTTTCTTGTTTGCAGGGTACTCCATTGGGAGTGACCGAATTTTCTTGAAGCACTGTGGCTTGAGTGCTTAGCCAATCACAAAAAGGGGGACCTTTTCTGTACTGGCCATATTTGCGGTGACCAGAACAGTCACACGCTCTTTGCTGTGCTTGGAGCCGGCACAGCTGTCTCCCTTGTAAGTTATCGTCTTGTCTGGCTGCAACTTGAAAAATAACGCTGTCTCGTCAGCGTTAAACACATTCTGCGGCGAGTAGCTCTCCGGGTACTTCTGCACGGTTTTGCTTCTCCAAGTAGCGCATGTTTCGGCGTCCACTTCCTTTGCCTCACCGGATAACGTGCGTAATACGAGACTGTGCTCCTCCCTCAAAAGATGAAACCACCTCTCGGAGGCGACAGTCTTCAATGTTCAAGCGCATAGCGAAATCGGCTGTCTTGGCCATGATAGGGCGGCTCAATGCGATACTCTTGGCTCATTTCTTTAACCCAGATAATCAAAGCTGACTCCAGTTCCAGGAATTTCGCTGTCCTTAGCCTTTTCTCACTGGCACCAATATCCTCGGCTTCATAGGCGTTTTCAATGGCCGTCCTGTTCCGTATGTAGGTTGACAACATGCTCGGAGGTATGCCGTGCTTCCTCGCAATTTCATATTTGCTCGACTTCCCTTGGTCAACCTCTCGCAAAATCTCCACCTTCTCCTTGACAGTCTTCGCGCAGTAGGTTCCTCGCGTCATCATGCAACTTCGATGCGGAATAACATGACTTCACAGCGTGAACGAACAACGTGCTCAAAGAACGCGATGCTGCTGGGTGCGGCCTAGGACTGCTAGGACTACTCTACCGACTCCTCAGCGTCCTGCGTATACAAGTGGCGCCAGGTGCTGAGATAGTGGAAGGGCGACGAAAAAAAAAATTGCTCCCCCTATTTCGAAGGCCATGCTTTGCGCGCCCTTTGCGCGCCCTTTGCGCGCCCTTTGCTCGGAGGCCACTTGAAGCTTGAAAAAACCGGTCATGCCACCTATCGTTTGGCCGTAAAAGCTTCCACTAGTGTTTGACGACGATGACGATCGGCGGTGCGCGCTTCGAATTATCCGCAGAGGTGGCGATTTCTGTTCGAATTAACCAATCGTTTTACACATGATCTCCTATGCACTGTGGACTGAACTGCGGCAACCATTTCAAATTATCGAAAATTTCAAATTACCAAGGTGTGAATTAATGAGCTTTCACTGTATAACTGGTCCTATTTTACCAGTGACAAGGTTTTGTTATATTTCCTTTATATTACAGCAATAAATATTTTTCCTATTTCAATATATATTTTTCAATTTTCAATATTCAATATATATTTCAATAGATATTTTTCAATAGATATGTTCCTATTTCTGAACCTTAGAGCAGGTAACGGGGTGTTGCACATGTCGGTGTCATTTCTTCCCAGTGCAGTGTAGTGCACTGGGAAGTAACACACCATGCGTGTACTATATCTGTGGGTACGTTCACAGAAATGTTGAATAAGTGACAACATGCAAAGAGTGTATCGCATCTTTCACAAGTGCCCCTGGGGCAGCTGCGCCTAACCCAAACGAAAGTGCACTCGTTCTAATGAGGTGTTTTCATGAAGGCTGCTTACACCAGCCCTTGCAAAGCCTTCTTTCTACATTAACAGCAATTGGAAAAGCTGTCTAGAGGCATTTTACGAAAACCCCATAGTTGGTGACCTTTTCTGAATTGTGCTTGAAAAGTTGGAGTGGCTGCCACTGCATCTTTTGAAATATACCGCTCATGATGAGAACGTTATGGCTAGAGTAGAAAATTTCTTATTTTGATGAGAATATCCTTTCTTTTTTTTGGAAGAAAACCAATCAGGCGCTTTCTGAAAAGGCGTGTGAGAAAGGTGAAGTTGCTGTGATATTTTGTACTGTGCTCTCGATTGATAGCCATCACAAAAACTTGTCTGGTGAACGGTGCATAGCATAAGTACTGTTTTTTTAAGAATGTCTTTTTTTGTAACTCGTAAAAAACATGAGTACTGTATTTTTTGAGCATTTTTGTATTCCAGTAAGTCAACTTGTTTGAGGCTTTTACAGACGTTTTGGGTCGGTTTTCTTCTAGGCAAGACGGCCGTGTTTAAAATGATAGTGGTCGTCATGAAACTAGGCTGAAAATGCTCATTCACCTAAAACCTCCCGTACTTGAAGATTAAACACAATGCAGACAACTCAAATATAGGCAGGACATGAATTCTTAGCCAACTTGCGATGAGCAGCGCATCCAGGCCACTCTATAAAGGCGACCTTGTTCGCATCAACATTAGTAGTGCACATATGCGACGCGAGAATGTTGACTGGAAGCATGATGAATGTTTGTTTGATAATAGTACAACAAGAAACTCGCCATCAGAAACGATGCGGTGGACAGGCGCGGTACACAACTGTAGTAGACAATGTGCCGAGAGTAGCACAAAATCGAATTTCAGCTAGTCCTCGCGACTGCCATTCGGCCCAACCTACTCTACTGGTGGAGATACGGAGCTTTGAAGCGGAGATACGGAGCTTTGAGTTTATTTTAGTAACAATGGCGGTCCCGAAAAAGCTAAATTACAGCAAATTTTCTTGAAATACTGCACAGAAAGAAAATATTGTAAATTATTTGGCATTTTATGTCACAAAAAGAGACTCCTTCAATACAACTCAAAAGTGATGCTCTCAAATGTACAAATAGCAAAAAATAAGGGCAAATGGTGCCCAATTTACTCTATCTTCATCTGTGTCGGAAGCCTTACTTCTTTTTAACATGTAACTATTAGCTACTTGAAAAGAAATCATGGGGAAGTGGCCCTCGCACCATTAAAAAACTGATTCTTCGTGGGGAAAATTTTAAATTATCATAGATGTACCCAAGGAAACAGAAGCATTCCCAAATGCTATTGAAATTAGTGGCTCTATGGTGAGGAGCCACATTTGTTGTCTTTGCTGCATAGCAACAACAAACTGCCAGCATTCTATCTGGAAGAGCATTTTTAGCTGTAATGAAATTTAACACAATCAATATTTTCAGTCAGTGCTTAAGTCTACACCCTAAATGATATTCAATAATTTCAGCAGCACAGTCAAAGAGTATGCAACACCTGCTGTTTGTATTTACCCCTGACAAATGTACTAAATGGCAATCTTGTTCTCGACACAACTGAGTTCTCTACACAATGAATTACTTAAAAATATCCTAATTACTTAAACCAGCGGTGCTCAAATGGGGGTCCGCAAAGCCACTTCTATGATCTGCAAAACCCTTAACCACTTTTTTTTTTCACATTTTTTGGAGTTTAGTTTGCTCGTCACTCGAAGTGAATACCAAAACAGGTTGAATGTGTCTGCAGATATGCAATGTGTTTAAGCGCGACTGTGCCACGTATTGATAAACTGTTCAAAATAAAGTAATGTAGCATGTTTGTTTGATGTTTTTGGTAGCAATTAAGGCACCTGTTTCACGCTTCAGTTGTGTTATTTGCCCGCGTACCCCCCCCCCCCCCTTTCCTCTCCTCTGCTGCAAGGGGTCTCCTATCACTTCTACTAGTCCACAAGAAGTCCCCAACATATCTGTGGTTGAGAACCACTGACTTAAACTATCATTTAAAAGAACACATACCTTCTTTTTCGTTGTCAAGCACTCCATAGCCATGGCGCTTGTCCTGCAGCCACTGGCCAATGTATATGCTTGAAGAAGACAGAAATCTGCCTTCCTTGAGAATTCCATGGCCATCTCTCAAACCATCTTTGAAGAATCCCTCATAGAAGTTACCATTGGGGTACCTGAAAGCAATTCATTATGTTCTATCACAACCAAAGCAACAAAAGTAACTAAAAGCAATGGCTCAGTACGGCACACTTTGAACATTTATATATTTTTATTATGATGGTGCACTTATCCTGGTTTATTATGAACATATTGAAAAGCCTAAAAGTAATACCCACATATGGCTGGCACACATTTTGGCTCTCTCATTTTGCTTGGTTTGTGTGAACTGTTGGTTCTCACGGTAGTTATTCAAGCTGACGAACCTCACATACCTTTTAACTTCACAATAATACGGTGTTGTGTACATGCGTTCTTCCCTATGTCTCAGCGAGTGCCTTAACCCTTTCAGGATCGAATTTTTTTGCAAAATGCATGCCAAAAATGTGGAATGTTTCATTGCTGAAATAAATTCTTCAGACAAATATAAGAAAAAAATTATCTAAAATTTCTTTCGTGACCGTAAAGTGACAAAAATATATTGTGTTGTTACATACATATGGTTCATCTACGATAACATATGGTTTATCTACAGTAACTACTACAAGCACACTTGCTTGGTACCCACTATGGCATTAATAATAAACTTTTGGGTAGTAGGCCGGCATTCACTATGCTATTTTTCGTCATTTTTCTGAGAAGCGTGGTATCCGCTAAACACTTGCCAGGAATTTTGTGCCAATTGTCCATGCAGTGGCTGACGACGATGAGGAATCATGGCTGAAGTGGGTATGCACCACAGTTAATAGAGAAACAAGAACAAGCTATTGTAATTGGTTGGAGCATTGAAAGGCCCGCTCGCTACGCTAATCCCATTGAGCGATGACTGGTTGTTCTTTTGCTGTTGTAAAACACTTTATAAGTCGTATTAACGCGATTGTTTTCCCGACATCAAGCATGCCTAAGGCAAGTTTGACAAAAAGTCACAAGCACCAAAGTAGCTCAGTGGTAGAATACTGGGCTGGCACCCAGCGGACCCAAGTTCGAGCCCCACTGTGCCATTGGTACTAGGTCATGCCTGCCTAAGGCAAGTTTGACAACAAGTTACAAGCACCGGCATAACTCAGTGGTAGAATATTGGGCTGGCAGCCAGTGGACCCGGGTTCAAGCCCCACTGTGTCATTGGTGCAAGGTTATTTTTCTAATTTCGTGCCATGTGGCTATGAACACCGGCGGTGTCGATGGACAACATGCAACTGCGCATGACCCGAGTTGTGATCTCCTAACAGCTTTCACAATAAAAGTGCTTCGCTTTCTAGAGCGGCCATATAAGGGTATGCACTGAGCCTTGATCGCAAGGCGGCCACGCCATCATCGCGCCATTTCGGAGATCCAATCATACGTGCCGTTCGTGCTGTACCGATAAAATCATACTGGTCTAGAGCAACACTGTTGCTAGCCGCGGCTTCTATCTCACGTTAGCTACAAGCTTCCGTTGATGCTTGCACACAGCACAAGGGCCTAACACGCAGTACAACCATGTTTGGTAGCATTACGGCATCTCTCTTTACATATTTTTGAACAAAACGTCAGCTGGAGCAGCTGGCTGGGCACTCTAGACAAGTCTGATTCTATCTGTACGTGCATCGGCGTGCAAGAGATGTTTTGGGGTCCCTAGTCACCCAAGCCATGAATATCGAACACCGGGTGTGCAGCAAGTTTTTACGAGTGCGCGAACCTTGAAAATGGCAACCCCGCCGCTAGAGCTTCTCACGGATGACGCCAAGCCTTATTATTTAGTATAACAATACAATTTGTTGGTATCGCATTCACTTCTAAGAGCGCAAATGAAACTAACAAATTGTATTTTATTTTAGATCTGATATGGTGCAAATCAAAGGACGCTGGCTAAAGGGAGAATGATCACTCTAGTTGCCGAAGCTTTCATGCTGTCAGTTACCCAAATACGAGACAAATGCTAGTAGCACAGAAAGTTAACGAGCCCTCTCATTATGCCTAAAAGTAGTGTGCGCCAGCTACTTTAAGCTACACAGCAGTCTCCCCTCCACCCCTCCTTTCAAAACGAAGCAATAAATGCGATGCCGTGATGTTCATTCTTTTTAACCGTCAGCTATTGACCTTGGAAAGCGAGAGGCAGATGTGTAACAAGGCGTAGCCGCTTCACAGGCCTTCCGACACCAGAGCTACCAGCGATGGCCTCATTACAGCTGCACACATTAAAACCGAATTGCAGCTGCTCTGACCAAGGGGCATGCTTTTATAAATGAGATGACATTTAAAAAGAAAGCACACTAGAGTTTTCAATTCAGACACTATGAAACTTGAGTTGGAAAAGGCAGGGTCTTTTAGGGGCTTTTACCGCCACAGCGATTATAAATGCGGATATACGTGCTGGTGGAAGGAATTACGAAAAAGCTCTTCTGTATGATAATCCATGCATAAGTATATTAAAAGAAAGGGGTCAACGCGTTCCCACCATTTACTTGTTCTTCTGTGGAAGCGAAGCACGGAAAATTAGATCGAGATCTCTAGACATAGACGGGACTGACATTCTGGTAGCACGCGTGCAGCTATTAGTGAAAATCGCTTTTTACGTGCCGCACAACTCTTCAAACGAACTATCAGCAGCGTTCCTGGAACGGACGATGTCTGCCGATGAATCGCCACGACATTTTCACGCTACCAATTGGGCTAGATGTCACGAGCCCCTGCGGAGAGCGCGTTTCGCAGTTAAGCGAACTTGCACAACAGAGTTGTGTTGGCACTAAACATAGCACTATGGATTTCAGGACACAGACGCGACCACTATTTATTCAGGAAAATAAAATAGGCATGTGATTGTGACTTTGGTGGCCCCAAGAAGGTGCGCAAGTATTGACGCGTCGGCGTGGCTATGCTGGTGATAGACGTTCCCAAATTCGACGTTGGCATAGTTTGGCGCAATTTCCCTTAATATTATCAAGATGGCACAGTAAATCTGATTTCGCACACTTTGGCACAGTTGGCGCAGGAGTGGGATCACTGAATTAGGCTCAGTACTTGGGGAATAGCCCGCATCAAAAGAATCACTACTCGACTCGCTGGTAGCAGAGCAACTGGTGCGCGCTACTGCAGCGCATTCCAACTCTGCGAGTGATCCCACGGAAAAAATCTCCATGGTTGTACATCCCACCAAGCAGCAAAACAAGTGAAAAAGCTATAATATTGTCACAGGGTCGTGACGTGGCCAAAGACAGAACACTTTATGTTGAGATTTAACTGTTTAATTGGGCAAACCTGTGCCCGGTAAACGGAAAGCTCTATTACAGTAGCAGTCTTGCACAGGTAGCAGTGAACGGGGCGTCGGCCTTCGATAAACTACTGACAAGTGGCGAAGCGCGTCGGCATTTATACTCTTGCCGTCGAATGTTCTGGCGTTATCGCTGGCGGTGGCGTAGATTCCAGAATAATTTGTACAGTTCGCAGAGTAGGCGCGATCTTATCGAAATGATCTACTACAGTCCGGAAGCTTTTCGAAAACTGCAGGCGCAGTTTGCGCTGAGAATTGTGTAGTGTTTTGGGACGATAACAAAACTTGGGAAATGGAACGTGACATTGCCCCCCTCTGAAAAAGGCATCGTCCTGATGCTTTAACTAAAGATGAAGGTACAACAATAATGTAAGAAAGTACAATGAATAAATTACGATACAATATTAATACAAAAAACACTGTTTCAGTTTGTCAACGCGCATGAAACGGCTTGAGGCGCGTGACATGGACGACTTCAGGTCGCGATCGACGTCATTGAGAGTTCGTGATGCCGTCGGGGACAACCTCGTAATCAAGTGGGCCGAGACGTCGAACCACCCTGTACGGTCCGAAGTACCGTCGCAGAAGCTTTTCACTTAGTCCACGTCGGCGTATCGGCGTCCATACGCAAACACGTTCACCGGGCTGGTATTCTACAAAGCGTCGTCGAAGATTGTAACGGCGGCTGTCGGTCGTCTGTTGATTCTTGATACGGAGACGCGCGAGATGTCGGGCTTCTTCGGGGCATTGAAGGTACTCACTCACATCAAGGTTTTCTTCATCGGTGACGTTGGGTAACATGGCATCGAGCGTTGTTGCCGGGCTCCATACGTAGACCAATTTGTACGGAGATATCTGCGTCGTCTCCTGCACCGCCGTGTTGTATGCGAAGGTCACGTATGGAAGAATGGCGTCCCACGTCTTGTGTTCGACATCGACGTACATTGCCAGCATGTCGGCGATCGTCTCGTTAAGCCGCTCGGTGAGGCCATTGGTCTGTGGGTGGTATGCTGTCGTCCGGCGGTGGTTTGTCTGGCTGTATGCCAAGATCGCTTGAGTTAAGTCAGCAGTTAACGCCGTTCCTCTGTCAGTAATAAGGACCTCCGGGGCGCCGTGACGCAGGACAATATGTTCGACGAAGAACTTAGCTACCTCGGATGCACTGCCTTTGGGAAGGGCTTTTGTCTCGACGTAGTGGGTGAGGTAGTCGGTAGCTACCACGATCCATTTGTTTCCGAAAGCCGACGTCGGGAACGGCCCCAATAGGTCCATACCAATCTGCTGGAAAGGTCGGCAAGATGGTTCAATTGGCTGCAGAAGTCCCGCTGGCCTTGTCGGCGGTGCCTTGTGTCACTGACAGTCCCGGCATGTCCTCACATAACGAGTAATGTCGGTGGTAAGACGTGGCCAGTAGTACCTTTCTTGTATCCTCGCGAGCGTGCGAGAAACACCGAGGTGCCCTGCCGTCGGATCGTCGTGCAGGGCCTGCAGGAATTCTGGTCGCAAAGCTGAAGGCACCACAAGGAGGTACTTAGCTCGAAGCGGTGAAAAGTTTTTATTTTGTAGAAGACCGTTTCGCAGGAAGAACGATGCAAGTGCGCGCTTGAATACCTTCGGGACTTCGGCGGTCCTGCCTTCGAGGTATTCTATTAGAGCCTTTAGTTCCCGGTCGTCCCGCTGTCATTCAGCGAAGTCGTCGGTAGTTATCATTCCCAAGAAGCAGTCGTCATCCGGGTCGTCGGGTGGTGGTTGGTCGACAGGCGCACG